CAGCAAACATGAACCTGTGGTGATTCCTTCTAATAACCATAGCATCCCGGGTGGAAGTAAGATTGTTAAGGGGAATGATCATGCTGATGGCTAGTGCAGAGCTGCACACGTGGTGTCAGGTGGACAGTCCTGGTTATGATAACACCTTTACGGCAGATTTAAGACAGAGAAAGAGTGTGGAAGAGGGGTAATAGAAAGCAATCAAGCAGCTTTCGTTTGAATTGCACACAACTTGCAATAAGCAAGACATATGGCCAACAATGTTCACTTCAAAAGGCCAGACAACCAGACACGTATCATTTCCACCCAATTCAGTCTAAAGAAGTGTAGAGAAAACATCTCTATTTATGTTCTGGAACAAGATCGAAATGCTGCGCCTCTAGGAAAAAGACAGATGGAGAGCACATCTAGCACTTATGGAGACACTTTCAGCAAAGCAATAAAGTTATAGACCGTCCGCGTCGTGGCCAACCACCAGTCATGACCTTACATCAAGACCGGCGGATTTGAACCACGCACCCCCCGATAAAGATACCAGCCAGCAACCCTAACAGACCATACCATACCATATTTAGCAGCAGACACCAAACTGGGAACATATTGGCGTCGTCTACGTGTCAACGGCGTCCGTGCAAGACAGCTAGCCAAATGGTCGATTCTGAAGGCAAGAGTTTCCATCACCAAGGAGTCATTTCTCTTTTTTTCACCCATCTGATGACAGGTCACGAGTGAGTGAGTATGGTTTAACGCCACTTTTAGCATTGTTCCCGCAATATAACGGCGGTCGACACCAGATATAGGAAGTGGCTGCATTATGGTCTCTTGTGGGATATATGCTGCTGCAAGGATGCCAATCATTGTGATTGTGGAGAACGTGAATGCCAAGAGGTGCAAATGGCCACTTCTCCGTTTTGGCAACAGAACAACCCTGAAATAACATTGAACATGAGACCACAAGGTGCGCTAGTTTTACAGCAGCAAGATCCACTGATGTGTCGCCCATTCGGATATGGACTTCCCCGGGGCTTTCATTGACATTTAATGGCCTCAATGAGGTGAAGGTGCCTCACCTGCATCACACTTGCTACTGGCCGTGTTAACTTGCTTGTGAACCCCCTTTTGTGTAGTGGCTCATTTGCATATGCCAGGCACACTGTTCTTATGGACTGTTGATTGTAACCATACCTTGAAACATGCGTCTTTTCATTTAATAACATTTTATTTGTGGCAGTAAAAGTTTAACATTGATTCTGTTTATTGTTTCACAATAACGTTTGCCCTACAAATAAACAAATACACACTTTTGGGGTTACATGATCAAGGTGAGGAAATTATAATATGTTGTGTCAAAATAAGAAAAAGCTTGCAGTAAAATCATGATGAGAGACACCCAAACGTGGCATCAAACATCTAAACCGCTTGACAATCAATACTTTAATCAGACAGTACCTCTTGCTATCCTGTCTGACATTTGGCATTTGGTATACTGTGTGATGCATGCACTCATACTGTTACACGAGTGCCATAATCTTGAAGAAGGTGTCATCTTTAATATTTGTTCCCTGAAACATTTATCGTAACAGTGAAGTGAGGGGCTATAAGTAAGCCCAGGGATGCTTTACACCATTTAGATCTCAACTCATATAGATAACTTATAGATTTCAGCTTCTTTATTCATTCAATTCACTCTTTCAGTACAGATGCTCACGCAATACTGAGGTTATTTGAATATGCACCAAAACATGGGTCTCATGTGACACATGCAAGACTCTAAGCAGTGTTTGAAATAAGCCAAAAATCCAGCCTGACATCAGGGCTGGTAACTTCAAAATGTTACCAGCCCAAAATGGATTTAACCAGACCAAATATGGTGAATTTACTCATATGTATGGAACATCTAAAGTTTTTACCAGACCATTGGGCTGGCTAGCTGTAAATTTATATACACTGCTCTAAGGAGTATCTCCCACATGCTGGGTTTCTGTGGCGTGTCTTCCAACATGTTGTATTTCTATGGTGTATCTTCCACAGGTTCTATTTCTATGGTGTAAGATCCCACATGTTGTATTTCTATGGTGTAAGATCCCACATGTTGTATTTGCTAAGGTGTATCTCCCACATGCTGTATTTCTAATGTGTATCTCCAATATGCTGTAAGATGATGTATTTCTAAGGTGTGTCTCCAATATGTTGTATTTTTATGGGGTGCCTCACACATGATGTATTTCTATAGTGCTAGAGACACATGTTGGTCTCTAGGGTGCAAGTGACACATATTGGTCTATGTGTAAGGGACACATATATGCTGGACTATGTGTAAATGACACATGCTGGACTATGGTGTAAGTACATATGTTGGTCTGCATAGGGTGTGTGACACATGTCGGTCTGCATGCAGTATGTGACACATGTCGGTCTCCATGCAGTATGTGACACATGTCGGTTTGTATGCAGTATGAGACACATGTGGATCTGCATGCAGTATGTGACACATGTGGGTCTGCATGCAGTATGTGACATATCGGTCTGCATGCAGTATGTGACATGCTGGTCTGTATGCAGTATGAGACACATCATACAACTATGATGTAAGTGACACATGTTGGTCTGTAGGCAGTATGTGACACATGTTGGTCTGTATGCAGTATGTGACACATGTTGGTCTGTATGCAGTATGTGACACATGTGGATCTGCATGCAGTATGTGACACATGTGGGTCTGCATGCAGTATGTGACACATATCGGTCTGCATGCAGTATGTGACACATGCTGGTCTGTATGCAGTATGTGACACATCATACAACTATGATGTAAGTGACACATGTTGGTCTGTATGCAGTATGTGACAGATGTTGGTCTGTATGCAGTATGTGACACATGTTGGTCTGAATGCAGTATGTGACACATGCTGGACTATGATGTAGGGGACAGATGTTGGTCCGTATGCAGTATGTGATACATGTTGCTCCATGTGCAGTGACAGATGTTGGTCTGTATACAGTATGTGACACATGTTGGTCTGTATGCAGTATGTGACACATGCTGGACTATGATCTAGGTGACAGATGTTGGTCTGTGATACAGTATGTGACACATGCTGGTCTGTATGTAGTATGTGACACATGCTGGACTATAATGTAACTGAGACATGTTCGTTTGTATGCAGAATGTGACAGATGTTGGTCTGTATGCAGTATGTGACACATGTTGGGCTGAATGCAGTATGTGACACATGCTGGACTATGATGTAGGGGACAGATGTTGGTCCAGTATGCAGTATGTGATACATGTTGCTCCATGTGCAGTGACAGATGTTGGTCTGTATACAGTATGTGACACATGTTGGTCTGTATGCAGTATGTGACACATGCTGGACTATGATCTAGGTGACAGATGTTGGTCTGTATACAGTATGTGACACATGCTGGTCTGTATGTAGTATGTGACACATGCTGGACTATAATGTAACTGAGACATGTTCGTTTGTATGCAGTATGTGACACATGTTGACCTGTATGCAGTATGTGTCACATGTTGGTCTGTATGCAGTATGTGACACATGCTGGACTGTGATGTAGGTGACAGATGTTGGTCTGTATGCAACATGCGACACATGTTGGTCTGTATGCAGTACATGACAGATGTTGCTCTGTATACAGTATGTGACACATGCTGGACTGTGATGTAGGTGACAGATGTTGGTCTGTATGCAACATGCAACACATGTTGGTCTGTATGCAGTACATGACAGATGTTGGTCTGTATACAGTATGTGACACATGCTGGACTGTGATGTAGGTGACAGATGTTGGTCTGTATGCAACATGCGACACATGTTGGTCTGTATGCAGTACATGACAGATGTTGGTCTGTATACAGTATGTGACACATGCTGGACTGTGATGTAGGTGACAGATGTTGGTATGTATACAGTATGTGACACATGCTGGACTGGGATGTATGTGACAGATGTTGGTCTGTATGCAGTATGTGACACATGTTGGTATGTATGCAGTATTTGACACATGCTGGACTGTGATGTATGTGAGAGATGTTGGTATGTATGCAGTATGTGACACACGTTGGTATGTATGCAGTATGTGGTACATGCTGGACTGTATGCAGTATGTGACACATGTTGGTCTGTATGCAGTATGTGACACATGTTGGTCTGTATGCAGTATGTGACACATGTTGGTCTGTATGCAGTGTGACACATGTTGGTCTGTATGCAGTATGTGACACATGTTGGTCTGTATGCAGTATGTGACACATGTTGGTCTGTATGCAGTAAGTGACACATGTTGGTCTGTATGCAGTATGTGACACATGTTTGTCTGTGACACATGCAGTATGCAGTTAGTGACACATGTTGGTCTGAATGCAGTATGTGACACATGCTTGACTATGTTGTAAGTGACACATGCTGGTCTGTATGGAGTATGTTACACATATTGGTCTGTATGCAGTAAGTGACACATGATGGGCTGTGATGTACGTGTCACATGTTGGTCTGTATGCAGTATGTGTCACATGTTGGTCTGTATGTAGTATGTGACACATGTTGACCTGTATGCAGTATGTGGCACATGCTGGACTGTGATGTAGGTGACAGATGCTGGTATGTATGCAGTATGTGACACACGTTTGTCTGTATGTAGTATGTGACACATGTTGACCTGTATGCAGTATGTGACACATGCTGGACTGTGATGTAGGTGACAGATGCTGGTACGTATGCAGTATGTGACACACGTTGGTATGTATGTAGTATGTGACACATGCTGGACTATGATGTAACTGAGACATGTTCGTCTGTATGCAGTATGTGACACATGTTTGTCTGTATGCAGTTAGTGACACATGTTGGTCTGAATGCAGTATGTGACACATGCTTGACTATGTTGTAAGTGAGACATGCTGGTCTGTATGGAGTATGTTACACATATTGGTCTGTATGCAGTAAGTGAGACATGCTGGGCTGTGATGTATGTGACAGATGTTGGTCTGTATGCAGTATGTGACACACGTTGGTATGTATGCAGTATGTGGCACATGCTGGACTGTATGCAGTATGTGACACATGTTGGTCTGTATGCAGTATGTGACACATGTTGGTCTGTATGGAATATGCAACACATGTTGGTCTGTATGCAGTATGTGACACATGCCGGTCTGTATGCAGTATATGACACATGCTGGCCTGTATGCAGTATGTGACACATGCTGGACTATGATGTAAGTGAGACATGTTCGTCTGTATGCAGTATGTGTCACATGTTGGTCCATATGCAGTATGTGACACATGTTGGTCTGTACACATAATGTGACACATGCTGGACTATGATATAGGTGACAGATGTTGGTTTTTATACAGTATGTGACACATGTTGGTCTGTATGCAATATGTGACACATGTTGGTCTGTATGTAGTATGTGACACATGCTGGACTGTGATGTAACTGAGACATGTTGGTCTGTAGGCAGTATGTGACACATGCTGGACTATGATGTAGGTGACAGATTTTGGATTTTATACAGTATGTGACACATGTTGGTCTGTATGCAATATGTGACACATGTTGGTCTGTATGTAGTATGTGACACATGCTGGACTGTGATGTAACTGAGACATGTTGGTCTGTAGGCAGTATGTGACACATGCTGGACTATGATGTAGGTGACAGATTTTGGTTTTTATACAGTATGTGACACATGCCGGTCTGTATGCAGTATGTGACACATGCTGGCCTGTATGCAGTATGTGACACATGCTGGACTATGATGTAAGTGAGACATGTTCGTCTGTATACAGTATGTGACACATGTTGGTCCATATGCAGTATGTGACACATGTTGGTCTGTACACAGTATGTGACACATGCTGGACTATGATGTAAGTGAGATATGTTGGTCTGTATACAGTATGTGACACATGTTGGTCTGTATACAGTATGTGACACATGTTGGTCTGTATGCAGTATGTGGCACATGTTGGTCTGTATACAGTATGTGACACATGTTGGTCTGTAGACAGTATGTGATATGCTGGACTATGGTGTAAGTGACGCATTTTGGTCTGTATGCAGTATGTGACACATGTTGACCTGTATGCAGTATGTGACACATGTTGGTCTGTATGCAGTATGTGACACATGCTGGACTATGATGTAAGTGAGACATGTTGGTCTGTATGCAGTATGTGACACATGCTGGACTATGATGTAAGTGACAGATGTTGGTCCGTATGCAGTATGTGATACACGTTGGTCTGTATGCAGTATGTGATACACGTTGGTCTGTATGCAGTATGTGACACATGTTGGTCTGTATGCAGTATGTGACACATGCTGGACTATAATGTAACTGAGACATGTTGGTTTGTATACAGTATGTGACACATGCTCGCCTGTATGCAGTATGTTACACATGTTGGTCTGTATGCAGTATGTGACACATGCTGGACTATGATATAAGTGAGACATGTTCGTCTGTATGCACTATGTGATACATGTTGGTCCGTATGCAGTATGTGACACATGTTGTTCTGTATACAGTATGTGATATGCTGGACTATGGTGTAAGTGACGCATTTTTGCCTGTATGGAATATGTGACACATGTTGGTCTGTATGCAGTATGTGACACATGCTGGTCGTTATGCAGTATGTGACACATTTGGTCTGTATGCAGTATGTGGCACATGCTGGGCTATGGTGTAAGTGACAGATGTTCTTGTTGCACTCCAAGCAGACTGTCCTGGACTGCTTGGGCCAGGTCTTGTATGGCAGGAGCATGACTTGATGTCAGTAGCCTCCGAATGACATGGTCAATGTGGTGCTCCTTGAAGGCAGTTACAAATTCTGGATCTGGAACAAACCAAAGAGAGATCAAACCCAGTGATTTGGGTGTCACCACACCCTGATGGTTCATTTCCTGAATTACAGGATTGTGTGGTCAAGACTTGTTGAGTATAGGCTGCCATCATATAGCTTGAACATTACTGGGTGTGGTGTTGAACAACAAACAAAACAATCATAAAATAATAATAGTACTATAATAATTACATTCATCAAGTCTGACACCAAGACCCTATCCCCTTAACTACATGTTAAAGTTCCTTGATTCCTGCTCACTTGCTGAACCTAAAGACATTTGAAGTCAGTTAATAGTACTTGTCTAAATAAAATCATATGAACATAAAAGATTGAGACCCATTCCTCCTATCTGCTCAGGCACAATATCGTTTTCCAGTTCCTCTTAAATGACATCATTTGTAGTCTCATGTATTACGTTTCTAAAAACACATGCCAAATGTACTACAAATCTAACAGAAAGTCCTATGCCTCTTGCTACCCTTAAAAGTATATATGCTCTTCTGTCTTAACTCATTAAGGCCGAGAGAGACGCATATATGGGGCAAATTAATCAGCTCCTCACAGCGAGTGACGTGTTTATGGGGCAGGTAATTAGCAGTTTCTCACAGCGAGAGCCACATACAGTCGTCAACAGAAAGCACCTCTTATTCAGGGAGAGACGCAAATGTGTGTTGTACTTTTAAAAATCGCACTGTACCTATTATTTCAACCAATTTAGCAGTACTGAGCAAATGTTAGCTTTTCTTACGAGAGATCCCACCTTTAGTATCAATCAGAAGAAGTATTTAAAGTGTTTTGATAACAATTGCTAATCATTATCATAGGCTTGTACAGCGTTTAGCAAATGAACGCATGTCGGCGAGAAAGGGGATTATGATGTTTTTACAGAGGTAAGTGCCTGGTACTCTTCCTTGGGAATGGATACTAAAATACTTCGTATGCACCTTGATTGAATTAACTGTAATGGTTTAGAGGTTACAAAAAAGTTATATTTCCTTCAACTACTTAATAAATAGGAAACAATATACGAAATTTCAAGGACATACAAAGAATTCAAACACAATAGAATAGTTTGAATTTACTTTTTAGGCATCATTACGTTGTCATGTTTCATATACTGAAACATAATGTATAAACACAAGTAATTATACATCCAAGCTCGAATATATTAAACGTAATTGAACTTACTAATTTGAAGTTTACTGAATTGTAACTACATTGTAGTTGTTTTCCATAATCTAAAGTTCGTAATGTTACCTAAGCGAATATAAAGTGATAAGTTGTGCCTTTGCATCGAATACATATATACATGTCAGTGTTATTACAACAATGAAATCTTTTACTACGTTTGTTACAAAAGACAGTAAGTTGGTAATTCAAAACATTGTTACACATGGACAGAAGCAATATCATAAGTTATTACATGTAAACCATACAAAGGTATTTCAAGCATTTTTGTTCAAGCTGTTGAAAGTTTCATGTTGATTTGAATTGTCAGTTTTCTATGCAATTTACATGAGCATTCTGTAAAACGTTTGTATTTGATCTGTGTAATTATCAAATCCGGTGCAATTATCACGTGTATCAATCAACTCAGTCTCTATTGATCCATCGTCAATAAAAGCTGGATAGTATATCAGTTACGGTATCGATACATGCATGTATAATCATTCAAGCAGATTACAGTAATGAGATAATTGAAAGCCTCTTTCGACCTTGAAATAACAGCCTCCGGTAGAATGCATATGTAGTTACGCCCTTGTTGAAAGGTTTGTCCCGTGACAAGTGTAAAATAAACAGATGCGCTGTTATATCATTGGACATCTTGCTTTATGGAGTCACGCCCCTCTCTGTGATGTTTATACATGCATGCACATCTGTAATCTTATGAACCTCGTTTGCATTCAGTAAAGATATAGGCACGCCCACCTTCATAAATATTGGGGGTTGGGGTGTCAACTGCAAGTTTATACACTATAATAATTCAGTACAGTGTCACCTTGTGAATTCTGTAATGTGTGTACTCTAGTTTGGATAGTCATTCGTATCAAGGTGAAGATTATATTTACATGTACAGCAAACCATTATGTTTTATGTACTAGTTGTGTGCATAAAATGTATATGAAAATAAAACTACCTCTACTCAGTGGTTGGATTTCAATCGCTTTGTTTTACTTATCGAAAAACACTAAAATGAGGACAAATAAACTCGCCAAAGTGACTATCTACTCCTATTTGTCTTATGTGTGTATTTCATACATCGTTACCAGTGTGTATGTTTACAATACACAAACTGTTACATGATAGCTTGAGTTGATAAAGCCGAAACCCAGCATATCAACTGGTCAACAATAACCAATCTCTATCCAAGCTGCTGAGTGACCAAACGTGTTCTTCAGAAATTTCGCCCACGCCCCATCACCTGTCCTTTCCTCTGTGACAGGTATCTCATGATACGATTGGTCGCAGATAACATATGACCAGCCACTGTACTGAACAGTTGAGATACCAGTGTGTATGTTTACAATACACAAACTGTTACATGATAGCTTGAGTTGATAAAGCCGAAACCAAGCATATTGACTGGTCAACGATATAGCCAATGACCAATCTCTATCCAAGCTGCTGAGTGACCAAACGCCCCATCACCTGTCCTTTCCTCTGTGACAGGTATCTCATGATACGATTGGTCGCAGATAACATATGACCAGCCACTACATTGAACAGTTGAGATACCGAACGTTCTATTCAGGAAATTTGATGACGCCCTATCACGTGACTCTTTGTTTTATGTCTATGCAAGGAATATGTAGTATACATTTTGTATATGTATGTTTGTATGGTCACGTATGTTTTCTGCATTAAATCTGTATGAAATAAAGTGCAATGCTATAAATGTGCTTGGGCTAGTCACAGACTAGCGTTATAGTACTTTCATTAAAATAATTCGTAAACACTAGAAATGTATTGGCAAAACAGCTATTTTCGTCGAAGATTATAAAGTATGAAAGTAAATTCTTCTTTACAGTATGTCATTGTCATAGATGTTTTGTAAATTTAAACCTCACACAATGATAAAAGAGAGAGAATTTGTTAACGTGTGTCTCATCTGTTACATACAAAGAATACATGTGTATGCATATTGTGATAAAATATAAATGTACAAGCCGACAAAAGGTCTACAAGAGAAACTTGTAATAAAATTACATAAAGCTTGCAATACACGGCATGTATTCACACCTGATTTCTTTCAACATATATCTTTATGACACAATTAAACAATCAGGACTTGTTTGTACGACTAGACAGTTTCCTGTGATCCCCGAAACCTGCCAGGGAAATCAGGTGTGACTAGCACTAATTAGTCTCGGCACAGAGAGTGGGCAATCAGCGAGGGCTTCCAGGTGTTGAGTAGTGATGGGGCTCTCGGGCTTAATGAGTTAAAGGAGAATACGAGTGAATTGCAATAATTTGCTTGGTGAAAGAGTAACATCCAGGGAGCGAAGTTCCGATATTTCGATCTGCAGTAGCCAAGGCTACTAGGAAGAAGGTCTTGAAAGTAATGCACTCAAACTCCTTCTTGTGCAGTGGTTCATAATCACTGGAGACTAGTGTTGGGAATTGGTTGAAATCTCACAATTGATGATTGCTTCATTACCAACGAACAATCATCGAAAAAAATTGGTAAGCGTCATTTTTCAGATTTTCCTATCCAGGTTGTTATTGCAGATATGTATAACATGATGCAACTTGCTACATTAAAGTGATGACTAATATATCATGAACATAACCTTCCTGGAGTCTTAGAGAAACATTCAGTCATGGCTTTTCAGTTAGTGAAGTGAGTTTTCTAAGAGTTAAACACGTTTTCAGGCCCTGACAACTTCTAAGATATGTTCCATTGTCAAGTTTTTCAAAGACTAAAACAGTAGTTCCAAAATCGTTTATGTTCCATTATGAGAAATTGTGATCGATTGCTTGGTCATTTGGTCACTGCGACCAATCTTCGATTATTTCAATTAATCGGAACACCACATCTGGAGACTAGGTGACGAAGGACAATGAAGAGGTCCCAAGCCAGTGGCCGGAATTTTCTTCGATTGGTCAGTCAATCTGTGTGAGCGCCAGAGATACTGGAATTGTGGAATGGTGGAAACCTTGACATCTGTAGTTGTAACTAATACCGAGTTGATAGCATCCAAATGCATAGCCAGTGTATTACCCTTTAGTTCCTTAGTAGCACACATATGCTGAAGGAACTTAGAGACACAATAATCCTCGAACCTCTTCCATTTATCATCGTATATGAGTGGATGTATGATGCACCGTGGTAATAGTCAAAGCCACTCTGTGGGAGTAGCCCTTAGCTACAAGCGACTTCTGGAGATGTGCAGCCAAAAGTGCAGATTTAAGAGATCTGTGGTAGCGATATGAGGATGAACCAGTAGGTCACCTCAGCTGGGTAGAGGAAATGGGTTTGGATCGGCGAGTCTTCAGGAGACACAACCTTTGGAAGTTGATGGTTGAATCTGGTCACAAATAGGTCGACTTGAGGTTTGGTGATTGGGTCACAGATCACTCAAAATATCTGTGGGTGCAGCTTCCGCTCCATCAGAGATGGACAGTCAGATCAAGACAGAGTGTCGGCAATAACATTCTTGACCCCTGGAATGTGTCTGGCTCTCGCTATTCGTTGATGTGCATGGCCTGTTTGTCGGACGACCAATGCCCTGCCACCTGACAATCGAGTAGATGAATGGCTTCATCCTCGAGGGATGCATCTACAAAAAGATGATGAGTGGGTTTGAACAGCGTCAAACAAACTCCTCCACAGACGTTCCATTTGATGAGCCATCAATGAAGGAACAGATGTAGCTACAGTGGTAGTTGGATCAGTCCTTTAGGATCATCGATCTTGAGGTACAGCCGCACAAATCTCTGAAAGGGAAAGTTGTAGTTGACCTCTGTAAGTGATGGCTTGAGCTGAGGTG